AAGGGGTGCATCCCTCCAAGGCTCGAGCCTACGAAATGTTGATGAGATATCCAGCGATCTAACTCATTAAGACATGAGCGTGGGAACGCTTACCGATGAACTACGAAACGCAGTTTCGAGTTTCGTCAGCAGTCGCATACTGACTAGTATTATAGGCAGATAGCTATTGCTGACATAGACAACGTAGACAGCAATTGCACTTTCTGTTGTAATAGTCATAGGAGAATGAATGCGCTGTGTAACCGATCGGTGAGCATTCGTCCGCCAGGGTTTACAATGACTTCAAAATCGTCGGCGCACATTCCTTTTATACGTCTTGCCATTCTGGCCTGAGTATTAGCTAGGAGGACTACCGGTATTCATATCACACATTTTCTACTATTCTTAATTTACTGAAGTAAAACTCCACTGTACAACGTCTGCACCCTATAAACATTATCCCTAAAAGTAAAGGGCTCACTTTTAATTTCATATAAAGAAATATTCATTCCGTATGGTGCATCCCAGAAAATCGAGCGAAAACCTGCGCTTCCGTTAAACCCTACGGTTTCACGTCCTCAAACAGCATTTGACGCATGCCTCAAAATTTGATAAAGTACAAATGGAAAATAAAACCTTCTACCATAAAATGTCGGTGAGAATTCTTGAGCTAGTACGTTATGTGTTTTAGATAACAGGCTAGCCATAAATATTAAACTTAAACGCCGCTGGAGCAATAAAGGTTCTACTGCTGAAAAGTGGGTCAGATTGCCGATTTACGAGCTCATCCAACATGGAAGGACATAAACCTGCCTGGTTATATTAGAGAATGTACTCGCAACATTGTGCTTCGCGTTCCAATCTGGAGCCCTTGCAGGCTGTAGCATATCGAGATGATGAGTCTTTAAGGTCGCAGCTGAATGGGAAATAAGTCCAACGTTTTAGTATTGGAAACTATTCCCATGCTGGAGGTCGGGACTATCCATGCCAAAGACCAATTCACCAACAATAGTCTCTTTATTGCATATTTATGTGCCATTTACACGTAAATTCTCAAGCGATATGCAGTAAAGTGACGCCCAACCTTTTTCTTGACACGTGCTTCCTTTCTCTGCATGTACTTTCGTATTTTTCTCACCTTAATATGAATGATTATCCCATAGCTCACCAGAACTGATTTTCAATAAATTAGACATTGTATGGATATCAAACGACACCTGTGTTTGAAAGAAGCAGCCAAAAGTTGCAAATTTACTAAGATAATCGACGAATAACCAACAATTCCTTGTGGATTGAATAACTGATGATTAAGATGAAAGCGTGGCCGAGTTATCGATCCAATTTAGTGGTAATTTTCAGGTTAGTTCATTTCATTCATTTTGTCATTGACGCATTATTTCATTGAACTAATTTAAGAAAGATGGTTTCATGCTAAACGATTGCATCAGTAACCATTCATAGGGTACTAGCCCGAGAATTGTCTGAGTACTGAGATTTTTCAAACGCAACTGGAAAACAAAAGACATTTCTGTATGTAACAAATAAAGTAGTTGGCTCCAATTATGACCATAGCTACTAACACTACAATTGTCGCTCTGAAATAAGGACAAACGATTCTTCGATAGAGTTGCAGTGTCAATTCGGCAAACATATGTTTTCAGAAATTCACTATCAGAGTTTTGCCAGTGCATACATAATGAAATTATGGGAGGTGGAAAGGATTTATAAACACCTTATGGTTGGCAGTCATCGTTCTGACACTGCCCGCACGGTAAGGTCGGCATGTTGAAGTCAATGGAAGTGGGGAGCTAGGGTAGCAATGTTCACAGTTCGAGTATGCAGAGAACATATAGCTGTCAAGTACGCGGCGCGATCACCACTTGACGTCGGCATCTGTCACAGTACAGAGAGTGCCTGTACTGACGTCTTCTGACAGCACAGCGATGGATTCGCTATCCGCATAGTCATAGCTAGTTAAAAAACGATACCTCATGGAAATTGCTTGGAGCCAAGTGTCCCAGAGTGTACCCTTTCTTGCGTCTTAACTCTACCCCTACGGCTAAACACCTTGCAACATTTTACTTTAAACAAAACCGCAGTCTCTTTGGCATTCCCCATCAAGCCGCTTGCATTACGGGGAGTTGGTGGGTCGTATTTCTCTGTCTTACCGAAATATAAAACGCCTCTTAAAAAAGATAACAATAAACCTTTTTGCAGTTCAATCCAGCTTTATTGATGGAAAGATAGGCAAACGCCTTTCGGTTTCCTATTGGCAAAACAGTGGTTAAGAAATACATCGATAAAGCGGAAAATGCAGAAAAAAGATGTTGTTAACATAATTTTTAATTCACTTGTTTTCAATGTTTTTCCAGCCGAATGCTCATTCACTAATGAAACTTTCTCACGGTTTTATGTAATAAAGTGGCTGCAGGAGATAATTTATAATGAAAGCGGTCACTTTAGTAAAAAAGTGCGCAGTCCTACGAGAATACGTACTGTAAGTATCATTTTTCAGTAAATTTTGTCTCTTTGATATAAAAATTCACCTGTTTTCAACACAATTTCGAATCTAAACGCATAAATTTGTTAGGATTACTTATATGGCCACATATGAAAGGGCACGCGAGAAGGAACCTTCACTTACCTGGAATTTAACGATTTATTTTCTTTCGCTGAGTCATACATCTAACTAATCCTTAGCTATATTTATAAACTAGTCAAGTAAATCGGCATAATTAGGTAAACTTTGCTAATTAAATCAAGACAGAATATATACCAATATGTGGCTTATTGGATAAAAACTGCTGTCATTAAAAAAACTGCCAGTCATTCGCAAACTGGTTTTAACATGGAGAATTAGAATTAATAATGAACAGCCGTAAGCGAGCTTAAAAATTAAATTAAACACTTTTAGATTACTGATTACTCTGAAAACCCGAAGAATCACCGTAACTGTGACCAATAAATGTAAATATAATTATCCGGTGAAACCGTAATCACACCTTTTTCATAGCAAAAAAACTTTCTGATTATCATGTAACTTCAATCGGTTGCAACGGGATGGTACATCTGAGGTGGACTGTTACATTCTTTACGAAGAATCGCAATATAAGCTACAAAATCCCACTAAAATTACTGCATATTTCTTGATCAATCGGTTGTTTTTATGCATGGAAATTTATTCAAACTTAAAATTTGCGAAAATTCCCATAGGAAATTTCAGACATACGTCTGTTTTCGATAAATTCTCGTCAGTCCTTTACATTTATATGGTAATTAAGTAAATAAAATATGGGGTTTTGCAGAAAAAATAGTAAGGTTGTCAGGGCAGGGGGAAGGGGGGAGGAGGAATCGAGGTCAAAGTCTGATCAGCGTTAAAGGGGGACTGGTAGTCGGCCGAGGTTATAAGCTACTGGCTGTTGGATTAGCGGCTTTTTACCATGGTAACTGTGGCGCCGCGACGAAGTTCTTTTGGGCGCACAGGATCGGTCGGCGTATTCTGATGGCGGCTGCTTCTGCGTAGCCAACAGATGCTGTCCAATAAATTTTGAATAGCTTGAGGGTACCTTTTAGATCACTCGGAAGACCGCTTTGGCATCCACGCGATGATCTGAGTCTACCAGGTGCGCTAGAATGGAACTGTTTATCTCTTTTAGTTGACCATTTCCTAACCATGCTGGAATGTGTTCTCTCACTCGTTTATATAAACACCGGCTCGTGCGTCGCTGATCAGATTTTGACCCCGATTCCTCTTCCCCCTCCTCTGACAAACGTACTATTTTTTCTACCAAACCGCTTAGTTTATTTACTTAATTATCAAACTTAAAATGGAAAATGTCAGTTTTAGCCTCTTTTGAGGCATCTGCCATTTGCTGTCGGTCCCTAAAACAAGCACCAATGCCAGGTACAAGCCAAAACAGCCTAGGATCGTGCCCTTGTTCGTTAACAGGCCAACTAGTTCAATACTTTCTTTTTTTACTGACCAGAATCGCAAAACATGGATGTTTGTGTGGAATGTTAATTTTTCCATCAAACTTTACACAAATATTTTTACAAAAACAATCCATGAACTGGAACCTCTGTTATCAAAATAATCCTGATTAGAAATCTAACTAGATGGTGCATATCACCTAATAGGTCAGTTCGAGGCTTACGGTTAGTCACGGAATTCATATACACAGGTACACACTGATAACCTCAGGAAAAAAACATCTAATATTTTTCTTAACTGCCCAGGCTTTTGGTAAATTATCCTGTCGTGGTGACTCT